CAAAGCCATTTCCAGGATGGGCATCATTTGCTCATCCTCGTCCCACTCCAGTGCTTTCTCTGTCTAAAGAAAAACATTTCCTTATTAATAGGAGTCATCTGGTTCTCCACAAACAGGAACATTACTTCTTTAAACACCAACTAATTACAATTTTGTTGATTTTTCTTAATTGACTTAACTGCAAAATGTAATTGTCTGCATTGCACAAATATCTGTGCATCTGTCAGAAATATCTTAAGTAGGCTGAGGTGGTGGGGATAAAACACATATGGAGAAAGCAAGGAGTTAATACTGGGATTCTTTCTATTTAACCTTCAGGAAAAGAAGAAGGAGAGTTTTGGGAAAATGTTCTGTATATGATAAATGCAATGAAATGTTCATAATGTCCTATGCTCCAATTCTGTGGAACTCATTGCCTCCATACATTAGAGCAATGCCAGAGTTGCGACCTTTTGTAAAGGCGCTCAAGACTTGGCTGTTTGGTTGTGCCTTTAAGTAATCAGATCTAATTTGCCAAATAGTCATGGTTGAATGTTTTTATGTTGAATGTTTTTATATTGTGTAAATGCTATTTTAGACTGTAAGTCGCTCAGAGCACCTTGGTGGAGAGCGACTAATTCAGAAATAAAGTGACGTGAAGTGAAGTGAAGAAGTGTATGTAATTTATTATCTAACATATTAATGCACAGCAAGTCATAGTGTGTGGGGGGAGGTGTTAATTTCCACAATGTAAGTATGAATAAAGCTGTTTGCATTCTCCTTTTGTTTTCACAAGTGCTCCACAAGCCTACTCTTACTGCATGTGTTGGGCCTGGCACCTAAGTAAAAGCTTGGAGATATCACACTAAAAGCAACCTAACTGCCTGTCATTCATTGGGATGTTTGTAATATGTGTGTAAATATTACCCTGCAAAAGTGATGTGAGAGAGAAAATCATACAATTATAATTTCTAGCAAACAGGTGACATTTATGAGCTGATTCTTAAAACATTTTAAAGGCACTTTTGGCAGCATTTTTCAAGCCTTGCTCTGATCAGATTAAAAGGTAAAGGAAAAGCAATAAAAAACTCAACTTTTTGTTGGGTAATAACAACAATATAACACATTAAATTTTGGTTTTGTATTAAAACATAAGTCCCATAATTGCCTACCTGTCTTAATAAGAAGAAAAATAATGAATCAATTTCTGAAGTACAAAACTGAGTATACCTTATCTGAAATCCTGGGAATCAGAAGTGTTCTGTATTTTGGATTTTTTTTCAGATTTTGGAAATTTTGCAAAAAGATATCTTGGAGGCGGAACTCAGGTCTAAACACAAAAATTATTTATGCTTCACATGCATCCTCAAACACACAGCTTGAAGGTAATTCAAAATAATTTTGTGAATGAAGCAAAGTGTACATTGAACCATTGGAAAGCAAAAGTGTCACTAGAGCAGCCATCCATGTGGACAGTTTTGGAACATTTCGGTTTCCTGGTTTCTGCATAAAGGAAGCTCAATCTGTAATTTTGAGACCCTGATCTAGATATGGAGGCTCTGCATATATTGTTCCCTCATGCCTGTACTGAGTGCCTTTAGAAGGAGAAAAAGAATCCCTTTTTTACATTTACATTGATATTTAAACCCCACCCTTCCTATCTTTATCCTGGGCAAGTAAACAATTTAAATAAAGTAACATGCCATCTACTTCTGAGGATGCTTGCTATAGATGCAGGTGAAAAGTCAGGAGAGTA